TTTTTTTTTTTTTTTTTTCACTTTATCGACATTACAACGATAATTGGAAAGGAAATGCTGAAAATTTTATGGAAAACAGAACTGGAAGTTTTATCAATTTACAACCTAAAACATTGACAACTTGCTAACTTTTATGCCAAAAGAATTTGCGAGTAATATAATGTGGTATCCAATGAAGTATTTCTTAGCAAGCACTTTGTTTGAATGGCATTTGATTTAGCAGATGTGGAGCATCCAACAAAGAGCAAAGTCCAATGACAGACTACTATTTCCTGTTTCGTTGTTTATGCCTTATCAAAGAATTTTTAACTGTAAAAGAAGTTTAGTAAAGGAAGATGAAAATGGTGTAGTAACACCCTTTTGTAGGCAGAGTAAAAGTAAAAAGTGTAAACGAAGCGCTTTGGTAACTGTGCTACATCGATAGTAGTAAGTCTAACTAATTTCTCAATTAGTCACCGCAGGTTTTTGACGTCGATACAAGTTGTTAGAAAACTGCATCAGTTATTTCATTTCAAGTACTTTTTGATTGCTTCTTGTATTAATTTAATGTGGGGTCTATAGTCTAGCTAATTCTTCAATTGCTATTACTTTAATTGCCTCATTCTGTTTTGTTATCAAAAAACTTTAGTTTTCAAAACAGAGAATAAGAAGTTGTATGATTTGCTGCTTTGTTTCAATTATGGTTATAATGAGTAGCCAGAAAGACCAAACTGTAAATGCCAATTAAAATTGTAATTTTTTGGCTGACCATTTGTAATGCTAGAGAGTTGAAGTGAAATTTGGTTTCAGTGTTGCTGTTGTTGTTAATAAATCTGACTAATGTCTAGAAAAATTAGAGATATTTTAGTGATAACAATTTGGATACTGTTGTTAAAGTGTGATAAATGTTTTAGCTGTGTATTTGTGTAGTTTAACAGAATACCGAGAGGAAATTTGATAGCTTGAAACTCGTAATTCAAGAGCAATTTAAACAGTCAACTACTTAGAGCATTTGCTAGATATCAATTAGAAAACATTGAATTTTTAC